GTCCTCAAAGGTAGACGACAACTTCTTCCAGGTAACTTTCCATAGATATGAACCTCACGGAAACAGGTTCCATTCATTTAGGTACTCTACCAATAATATTAGGTCATCAGAGATAGATTGTTTGCCCTCTTTGCCTAAAAAGCTGACATGCAAAAGTAATAAATGGCATACTCGGACAACATCAAGGTCATCAATCCGAGTAAAATCATCTTTAACAAATAATCTCTTCAAGTCGTCGACGTGTAAACTCGGCTTCGACTTTGCCAGCTCAGGAAAAACCCGAGATAACCATGATGGGCGGGAGATATGACTAGTGTACCGGGTTACATCATCGTGTCCGAAGCGTAGACCAGTGATTAAGCAAAACCCCTCCCGCCCAAAACAAGTATATGCCGGAGGAAAATAAAACCATATCTCTTTATCACCACGTTGTATCATCTCGGGTAGATCGTTAGTCATGGTCTGAAGAAACAAATGTGTCAACATATCATCTCCACCCGGATGTTGTACTTTCAGCTATGGCCCGAAGCAAGTATCCTCAAACAATTATCTTTGTAGAGGTGTAAGCGTCGACGCAATTTTAGTGGCTATGCTTAATTTATTCCTTAAGGTCAATGCAGCTGAAAAAAAATTCTACAAAAACAATAAATATACAAAGTTAGATATACCAAAAACTACAAATTATACACAATAAACAGACATGATATTAAACAGTGGAAACAAAGCCAAATATGTTTCAAACTAGCATGGTATTCACCCAAGTCATTATTCCATCATAGTTCACAAAACATCATATAACATTCCAGAAGTAAGCACTTATATAAACATTTAAAAGGACAACATATAAGTTTAGTGCAGGTTCAAGGACAACATAAAGAGTAGTAGTTTCTTCTTGAAACTTAAATTCACAACACTGTGAAGTTAGTATTTGTCTTCGTTTTTTGGTTAAAGTAATGCAATTCATTCAAGTTTCAATTTGCAGAATAAGAGTAGTTTCTGAAAATGAAAATCGTAACGCGAAAATGAAAATCTCAACGAAAAAATTAAAATCGCAACGCGAAACTAGAAAATCGCAACACAAATATCGCAACGCGAAAATAAAAATCGCAACGCGAAACTAAAATCGCGTTGCGATTTTCATTTTCGTGTTGCGAATTTAAGTTTCAAAAACTATTCTTCTGCAAATTGAAACTTGAATGAATTGCATTTCTTCAACAAAAAGACAAAACAAAGACAAATAATAACTTCACAGGGCAGTATTAGCAGCAGCCGAATAAATTTACTAAGCAATCTAAGTGAAATGGTTATAGATTATATATTGAAATTACCAGTAAATTTTATCATCAATATCAGAAAAATCTAATAATAATACAACAATTTCAAAATAAAAATAAGAGATTAAACTAACCCTCGGTGGTTGATTTTCCATTTATGATCGTGAATGGTTGTGAGGGTTGCTCTGAGAGATGGAGATAGACGGATTTCGCCGGAGATGAGGACGGATTTCGTCGGAGATGGGGACGGTTGTCGCCGTAGAGAGTGAGAGATGGAGATGAGATTGAGTTGTGATTTAGAGTTTTAGGTTATGATTTGCGATAATAATGTTTACATTTGTGTTTCTCAATTAATATTGTGTTTTGAATTCAAAAATAAAATTCGCGTTGCAAAAATAAACGCGCTTTGCGAATTTGACTTCTGTGTTGCGATTTACAAATTCGCGTTGCGAATTTGAGATCGCGTTACGAATTTGTTGGTCATTTTTACAAATAAATAAAAAATTGGTTACAATCGTATATTATAAAATATTTTCGATCACTGAAGTTATTTTTCCATTTTTTTTATCCTCATAATAGTGTTCATTTATGTCACATAAAATGAAGACACATTTACGTGACAACGTCTTTTCTTACGTAGCATGTCACATAAATTGTTTCTCTAAATGCTAATCTCATCTTGAACCTGTCACAGAAGTAAAAGCGCTTCCTTAAAGACAATTTTTTAAAAAGATGTTGGGATATAAGCACGCCTTTAATAAAAAAAAATAAAATATTATTATTTTAATAATTTAACCTAAAAATTAGATTTAAGAAAAATCCTCAAGCTTTAACAAAATTAATTAAATCTTTCCATTATCTTTACATTCAATTAAGTTTTATATTTTGAAGTTTCATCGATTCATCATTTTTCATTAAGGTTAACTGTTGAATCTAATACTTTTAATCAATTAATATTATAAATCACATCACAATTCTACCAAATGAAATTTTAAAAACTTCATTAATATTTAAAAATATTTAGACTATTCTACAATTTTAATAATATTTTTAGAAATTTTCTTTAAAAATCTAAAATCATGGATAAATTTAAAAGAGAACAAGTAGGGTGTTTACTCCTAAAAATTTTAAATTCCTGTATATTTTAGATATTTTTTGTATTTTCTATTGAAAATATATTTTTACCCCCTAAAATCTTATAAGTTTTTCTTAACTTAAAATTTTAGAAATTCGTCATCTAACATGAAATCTTACTTTCGTCTATGTCTACAAATTTAACATGACATAGCGGCGTTGTTTCGTGTGACAATAATATTTCAATAAAAGTATTAAGACTTGATGGTGAAATTTGATCGAAGGACTTCATTTTTTTTCATTATTCAATTTAAATTAATATAAATTTTTGATTTAAGAGTTTAATTTGATAAAAAAACTGTTTAAAAATTTAATTGGTTTTGTTTCTTCAAAAGCTTGAGAACCATGCCACCCCTCTCCCCCCCTCTCTCTCTATATATATATAGATTTTCCAATTATATAAAATGAATACATAAGATCCGTGATAGTTTTAATTTTTCTAATTAAAAAATTATGCCAATAAGATATTGGTACACTTGATAAGGGAGATCCAAGGTTTTTGAATATTCTCAGTATAAAGTTATAAATTTCTTGAGAGACAAAAATTTAACTTTAAATTTTAATAGAAATTAAAATGTAACTTTATTGTTGTATTAATTTATACTACCACGATTTTTAAAATTATTAAATCAAAATTTTGACATTTGAAGGGGAAATTTTTTAACTTAGAATTTGATGATCTTCTCTTACATTTACTAATTAATTATCTGCCATTTCTTAGGTGCAAAAACAATCTGTGTGGGCTCTCTAATATTTTATTACCAGTAATTTATTATAGAATGTTTCGCAAAAATACTTCAACACACTCAAATATTGTATATGACAAAAATAATATATTATATGTATTTTCATTGGTTGGCAATCTTGTTTGAAAAATAATCTACTTATGGCCTACAACAACAACAACAAGCATAAATATATCCTACGTATTTGACTAATTCAAGTCCTTGAATCTTCTATTCATATGAGTTTACTTCTTGAATTTCATTTATTGTATGAATTTTGAATACAATAAAAGCTGACCACTCAAACTTTATGTGTAGCGTTATAAATTGCACCACCAAATGTAATTATAACATTTTTTATGTTTAAGTCAGAAATAATTTAGATAATAAGATATTATCTACCTATATTTAATTAGTTTAAATTCAATTCAAGATGAATACGAAATCTGATTCAATGTTCATCAAATTGTATCTATTCAAAAAGTTTATTTAGTTGTAATGTAATAATAGAAACAATAGTTTAAGTCATAAAACAAGTTTAATTCAACATGAATACATAAAGTACGATTCGATTCTTATATAATTTTGTTTGATAAATCTGGATGAACACAAGATAATATTTGTTCAAAGACTGTCAATCATTTAATAATGAAGAGTCATACTCCTGCGTATTTAAGGGATAAAAACAAATCTCTTAACTAATGAGATCGCTTGGTTCGTGTGATATTTATATAATTTTATTTATATTTTATGTTTTTGTAATAAATAATTTTCAATATTAAGAGATTATTTATAGATGTGAATAGTCTGAATTATAATAAAAGTTCAATCCAAGATAAATATAAAATGCAAATAAGGAAAAGCAGAGGGTGTAAAAGCATAAATAAAGGAAAGTATAGAACCATAAGAGTATCTAAACTAAACATTAGTTAGAGGAAATAGACAAAGTACAGTGCACGGGTACCTACTGCCTCGCTTTTCACGTTTGGAAATGTCAAATTCTTCTACTAGTCCCTGTATCATGTGTAAACTATGGATTTAGTTCTTTTATTTTTCAATCATTTTTAAACCTTAAGAGTATCTAAGATAAAGATTTGAGTGCGATTATACATGGGTGACATGTTTAAATAATTATTGTAATTTGTGAATCACATTAAATTAGATGAGATCAGAGACTTTCAATTATATTCTCAAAATTTTGAAGAGATGAGTATTTGTGCAATTACGCGAATAATTATATTTTTTAATTTTATGATTGATATTATTTAAAATTTTAAATTTAAGTAATTTTATAATCCTAATTTGTACTACTAAATATGATATAGAAAATTATAGTATAACTACACTTCTTCTATCAAATATGTCTATATAATTAAAATTACTTGTAATTATATATAAGTATAATTATTGAAATAGTAATTATATTTTCATACAACTAAACTGTAGTGTCTAAACATATTTTTAATATTTAAGTGGATAGAAAATTTTAGTTGATACAATGTAAACACATAGAAGAAATCATACAAATTTTAACTTTTGTAAGTTATGAGATTTTATAAATTTTAATTTCTTATTCTTTTATTTAAATTTTATAGGTTTTAACTGCTCTAGGCATTAGTATTTAACGTTTATGTTTCCAATTAGGTTTAATTCTTGGGATAGTTTCATTGATTAAAGGGAATTTTATTTTCTCAAGAAAAAAAGTTTACGGCTAGGTTGATGAAATTTTTTGATTAATGATATTTTGAGACTTAATTAATACATTTTTAGAAAGTTCAGACAATTTTAAAGCCCGATCCATAATTTGGGATATATATTGCAATTAAGCCAAGGAGTAAATAAGAGAAGGATATAGAATATGGCATTCTTGGTGGATATAAGATAGATATTGCAGCAGCTAAAGAAAAAGGAAAGAAAAGGAAAAACAGAGGTTCCCATGCTGAAAGCTGAGAGAGACAGCAGAGGGGGTATTGAAATTGAGAGAGAAGGAGGGTTTAAGGAAAGGGTTTTTATGTTTAGGTCCACCAACTGTTAGTTAAGAGATAGAACTCCTTAACCAAACATATTTTTTTCAACAACCAAGAAGAAGATGAAGATGGAGAAGAAGAAACTGTAAGAATTTGAAATATTACAATTTCTGGGTTTCAAGGCAAATAACCTCTGGAAGTTAAAAAGTCTTTTGTTTTATCTCCAAAAAGAGAGAAATAGTTACAGTCTTACAGAGAGAAAGAAAAGCTATCATGGGATTAGGGCCATAGGGTTCAAAGTTCAAGTTGTGTGTGAATCTCTCACGTGGGGTTTGAATGGAAATGATGGATTGGATAATATATGATTGGTAAAAAAAAAGGAGCAAACAAACAAAGAAAAAATAAAAGTGATAGAATTCATTCATTGCTCTGAATTATTATTATTATTATTATTATTATTATTATCGTTCATCTTTTATTTGGAGCGACAAACATCAAAGAATTCTTCTCTCTTTTTTTCTTTTTTGAAGTGTTGGATTGTTCTTGGGATCACAAAGTGTTTGGTTTCCTAAGGAAATTTCCCCTCATCGGATCCGGTGGTGTCATTGAGAATTCTTTGTTCCCCATACCTCAAACAACTGTTACTGGTTTCCAGGTATTTTTCTTCTTCTATTCATGTGTATATATGTTTTTTTTTCTACTTCTTTCTCTTTTGTGTATGAACAAGATGGTCAAACATAAGAAAGTTTTTTGTTTGTTCTTTGCAGTTTTTTTCTTTATTTTTTTCTGAATATGCTCAAGATTGTTCATGATGGAAGTCTGTTTCGATTGCTTATTTCTAGTTAATTTCGTGACTATGTAATTTGACTTGAACCGGAACAAGGAGAGTTTGAAGAAAGAAAGAAATATGGCTACTTATTACACTGGTTCCGACAATCAAAGAGATACAGCTCCGATGATCTATTTAAGAGAATCGACGGTGCCGGGTTCGTATCTAGAGGGATCAGTTCTTCCTGGTAATACGATGTTGTATATGAGTTCAGGGTCCTATTCCGATGCATTTTTTGGGAATTCTCAGCTGAAAAACAACTGCACCGAGATTCCAGCCGTCGAAGCTTCTGCTTCGACTTCACAGCAGCAAGGAATCTTGTCTAACCTCGGGGACCATGGTTTTGGTGCTTGGAGGGACGATAGAAATGAAATGCTGGCTATGCAGCCAATGACTGGTGCTTCCGGCGTCATTCACAATGGTCAAAGACTATCCTTAAGCCTTGGTACCCATATCCCTTCTGGAATTCAAATCCCTTATCGGAATACCGATTTCGGTTTTTCTGGTGGTAATCAAGATTCGAATAAAGGGGAATTGTCTGCATATGGTATGTTAACTATGGCAAGAACTATTCCTAATTCCAAGTATCTCAAGGCAGCACAACAACTGCTGGATGAAGTTGTTAATGTTCAAAAGGCTCTCAAACAGCCCGATGGAGGGAAAAAACGAAACTCGCAAGAAAATCGGGTGAAGAGTTCCGATGAAGATGGGGGATCGAAGAATGTGCCTGCAACCCAGCAAGAATCCTCCATGAACCCTCCAAAAGAGCTCTCACATGCTGAAAGACAGGAATTACAAAGCAAGTTAACGAAACTGTTGTCCATGTTGGATGAGGTAAGATTCAGATAACTTGATTGTATATTTTTACCCCATTTGTTGCCGAGGTCAACACAATTTCGTGTAAACTTTTTGGATAAACTCTTGCAGCCAGAGTCCTAGTTGAATATTTTTCGTTGTAGTTTCAAAAAGAACCTGTGGAACTAGGTTCTTTTCTGTTTGATTTCTTAGTATTACTTTGTTCTTTCTGATATATCTTTATTGTTTTATTGTGTTTCTTTTTCTGATCATGTCTAGTGTCGAATGGTTGATACTTCAGGTTGATAGAAGGTATAAACAATATTATCATCAGATGCAGATTGTGGTATCATCATTTGACGTGGTAGCAGGGTGTGGAGCTGCTAAGCCGTACACTGCACTTGCATTGCAGACTATATCGTGCCACTTTCGGTGCTTGCGAGATGCAATTAACGGTCAAATTCAGGCAACACGTACAAGTCTCAGCGAGCAGGATACTTCGGAAAACAGTAAAGACATGAGGATTACACGTCTACGTTATGTGGATCAGCAGCTAAGGCAGCAGAGAGCTCTTCAGCAGCTTGGAATGATGCAACAACATGCTTGGAGGCCTCAGAGAGGGCTCCCTGAAAGCTCTGTTTCAATACTTCGTGCTTGGCTATTCGAGCATTTTCTTCATCCGTAAGTTTCGATGCAACACTTCCCGTGTTATTGATTTCTCAATGTCGTACTAATTGCTATTTCGGTTTTCCTCCAGCTACCCGAAGGATTCTGATAAGATCTTGTTGGCAAGACAGACAGGCTTGACTAGAAGTCAGGTTACTATATCCAAGTTTCTCACTTCATCTAGACCTGACATCTGCAAACTACTCATCTTACTAATATATAAATGAAGAAAATTGTTCGGTGCAAGTAGTGTTCATTGTTGATCAATATGTGCCGTAATCTATTTAGACGCATGCGATAAATGATGTCACTCTTTCTATATATATTTCATTGTTGATGCCTTAATGATACATTTGCATCTGCCCAGGTTTCAAACTGGTTCATAAATGCTCGGGTGCGTCTATGGAAGCCTATGGTTGAAGAGATGTACAAGGAAGAATTTGCTGATGCAGAAATGAACTCTAATTCTTCGTCTGATAATGCTGTCAAAGCAACAAAAGGTGATACAATGACCTCTAAGGACAGAGGTGAAGATCTGCAACAAAGTGGGGGCTCATCGGCGATAGAGAGACATAGCAATGGGCATTTGATGGATTCCAAATCTGACAATGTTCATGACGTAGGCATCTCGGGATCAACTCCCGGAGCTAGTTTCCTGAATGTCACATGCGGAGAAGCTGAAACCGAGTATGTATTACAGAAGCCAAGGGAGGAGCATAGGCTTACTATGGGCAACTCTAATATCCCCGATGAAAGTGTTCATCTGGATGGTGGTAGTCACCAATTCATGGCGGCCACGGCTTACAATGTTTCGGAATTGGGGAGGTTTGGCAGTGGAAGTGGTGTATCTCTCACTCTGGGATTGCAGCATTACGAGGATGGTAGCATAAGCATGACAGATGGAAGCCATCATCAAAATTTCATTGCAATGAGAGGGGATGAAATGTACAATCAAATAACAACTTCGGTAGGAGCCGAAACAGCGGATTTTGAATGCATAAACCCCGGTAATCGGCAACAAGGGTTCAGTTCCTCTCAGATGTTACGTGATTTTGTAGAATGATATGTACTTGGACTGCAGATTTAAACTTGCATTAATCTTCATATATTTTCTTATGGAGAGGGAGCCGGAAGAACCAGAAGCAGAGAGATTCAGAACATGGTAAACTATAAAAGCATAGTAGCTGTAATATATTAAGAAATTGATTGGTGATTCAGCATATTTGTAAAGATATATAATTTTTGTTAATATGATGAAAGAGAAAATGTGTACAAATAGTGCAGCTTCAGGGATTAAAAAAATAGTTAGAAATAAAAGGTAGGAATTGGATAGTTGTAGGTGCAGGTGGACATGATGATTTTCAATGTTGTGCTCTGCATGCCTTTATGGGCCACTATCTCATCTACATTTTGATTGGTGTCCGTAAGCCACAAAAAGAATACAAATTTTTGGCATATTTTTGAAATCATCATGACCACTATTTTCTAATCAATAGATTTGGTTCAAATTACGGGTTGTGCTAAAAAAACATGCTGTTAAACAGGAAATTGCATGAAAATATCACATTGGAACCTTACCTGAAAATTTGAAATTTCTAGATCCTAAACATTCTGGATTCATAATAGATGTTATAAATCCTCCTGATCTCCAGGGGGAAAAAGTCATCTAGAACTGTCAGAAAAGGTGATTTCTAAAGCATCGAATTGGTTAATATAGGAAACTTGCCCACACTGTTTTCAGAAGCGTATAAACAAGGATATATATATGCATGGGCTGATTGACTACAAAAGAAGTGAGATATTACTTGTGTCTATGGAATCCCGCTGGCCATGATCACAGCCTCTACCTGAAAATATGGAGAACAGAAGTCGGAATGCAATAACCAAGAGAAAATAAATGAGAACTGATTCGAATAAAAGAACTCACCTTTTGTACAGAGACCTAATATCCTCTCTTAACAATGGACTTTCCAAAAACAGATCCTTACCCTCATTCATATTAACAGTTTCCATGTCAAACACTCGGTCACCACAATACTTTTTTTTTTGATAGAAATTACAGGCTTCATTAAAAACCCCCTTCTTGATTAAAGGAATTCTTGAGAAAGTTCCTTAATCATTAGAGGGAGGAAAAGAGTGCCTTAGGATTTTATTGATCAGGGACTCATTACATAAAATACAACCAAGACACACTGACAAAGCCATAAAAATTACAGAATATTTAAACAAAACTCCCTAAACGACCAAACCTTCCTTAAACAATAACAAAACTTTCCCAACCCCTTCAGCCTCAATAGACCAAGAACCTGCTAGAAAACCTCTATGACACTTAATAATATTCATTCAATCCCCTGTTTAGCTAGAGAATCAGCCTCACAATTGCAACTCCTCGGGATATGTCTAATAATGATTTCCCTCTCCGTGATTATGGAAGCAATTTTTTGAACCAACGAACTAAGAAAACGAGGAGATGTAGTCGGCAACAAAATCCAATCCACCACTGACTTACAATCACTTTCTATAATTAACCTTCCTTTCAATGCCCAATCCGTCGAAAGGAAGAAATCAATGCCTTTCTCAATGGCTTTCAGCTCAGCAAGTGGAGGGGGACCTGGACCAACAGCGTGCGAGAAAGACCCTAGAATTTTACTATCCGAGTCTCTTAAAATGCCCCCAATACCCCCCAGCAGCCCATCCCCACTAACTGCCCCATCCACATTAACTTTAAAAAAATGAAGTGGAGGAGGACTCCATCCCTGCACCTTCATCCTTTTATGGTCACTACTCTGATGCTTATCTGCAAGTGTAGGATCCCCTACAAGAGAGTCAACCTGAATGGAAACATTCGGGTACTTGGCTAGGAACCATTTAACCAATCTGAATCTGCATATGAAGAAAAGAGTAGATCTGTCCAGTTTCCAATCTTCAAAAACCACCGAGTTTCTAGCCTTCCATAATAACCATAGAACTACCCCCGGAATAAGGCTCCATATAATTGATTTAGGCCTTAAGTCCGACCAAGAACACAGCAAAGAGACTGGATCTTTAGGCAATACAGACGAGACTCCCCATAACCTCCAGAACTTGCTCCATACGTCCCATGCAATCAAACACGATATGAATAAATGCTGAACTGTTTCCTCCTGTTTAGCACAAAAAGGACAAAAGACCTCCTCCAAATGAATTCCTCTTCTAATCAACTCCGTTCTAACTGCCAATCTTTGATGAGCAACCTGCCAAAGAAAGGTTTCGACCCTAGGAGGAGCCAAACCTGACCAAACAAACCTTTTCCACATGAAATTACCCCCTGAGCTGGAAGAAAAGGTCAACCTACAAGCTTTAGCAGTGAACAATCCATCTCCCTTCCCCGACCATGCCAGAAAATCTTCCACCGAATCCGAGAGACCGACATTCTCCAATAATGACATCAAGAGAATCCAGTGATCCAACTCCCAATCGCAGAGATTCCTCCTCGTCTGAATGTTCCAAATCCATTTGTTCCTCATTAGACTGCCAAACTCTGAAACTTTACCCCACTTATTATTAGAAAGAGCGTAAATCCTTGGAAATTGATTCTTTAAGGAATCCTCGTTTAGCCACACATCATGCCAGAAATCAACCGACTTTCCATTGCCAATTTGAATCTTCGAGTGAGATCTCAAACCATATCCAATTTCGTCCTCTGCCAAAAAATTCTTTGTAATAACCTTCCATATCCAAGAATCCGACGGAGAGACTGCCTTGCTGAGGTCTAAGGACTGGATGCTCACATTATGTCTGCTGCAAATCATGTTCTTCCAAAGTGAGTCTTTTTCATTTGTGAACTTCCACACCCATTTACCTAGCAGCACTCTATTGGCGAAATTCAAATCCAAGATTCCCAAACCACCTTCCTCTAAAGGTTGACAGACCCTTTTCCAATTCACCCAGTGAATTCGGCCCTTTAAAGGACCCTCCTCCCACAAAAAGTTTGACATAATAGAGTTGAGCTTCCTATAAACCTTACTAGGCATTCTGAAAATAGAGAGGAAAAAAGTTGGTAGAGATGATAAAACAGATTTAATCAACACTAATCTGCCATAGATAATGTAGATGCTTTCCATCTGGATAACTTCTTCCACTCGAACCACATTTTTGCAATTAATTCCTTCTTGAAACAAGTAGCATGATCCTCCTCTTCAGGAGAATCACCCGCAATCAATCTATATGAATACACTTTCTTCTTTTGTCCAGGGCGAAATGCACGGCCTATGGCTTGGCGAGTCACAGATGGATTCAGATGAACGTCCAAGATTATAATTCGTGATGCCCCCACCAAAGAAATTCCCTCTCCACAAGCCTTGATAGATCCAAAGAAAACTCTAGCATCGGGAGAGTTGTTGAAGCGGTCCATAGCCAACTCCCGTTGTTCATTACTTGATTCACCGGTGATCGAAAAAATCTCTGTTCCTGGATGCCAACCCTTCATTTTCACTGATAATCGCTCTAAAAATTTCAAGGGGATGAGATACTGACTAAAAACAAGGACCTTCTCACTAGCTGACTCGAATAAATTTAACATATTAAGAAAGAATTTTGCTTTGGCTCCTTCTTTGATATCTAATTTGTGTAACAAGTCATCAATCTTATCATCTATATTATCATCAGTCGTGTCAGACTTCTCAGAGAAAGAACCCAATTTTGGATGTAAATAAACAGCACTACCAACAGATGAAATCTTGAACCTTCTTTGATACCTTCTTAACTTCTGAACTTCATCCATCTGTCTGGGACTAAGACCAAGTACAACAGTGAAATCAACAAGTCCAGGAAGCTCATCCAAAAAATCTCCTTTGTAGTAATGAAGAACTTTGCTGGTCATCTCACGTAGATCATGTATGACCGAGACTTTCCTCTCAAAATTTTCATCCTTCTGCAGTATGTGCTCCACCGAATCATAAAAAGCTGCATCTGCTCCAGATTTGATCTGCCTCCTCCCTCCAGGTATTTGCACCTTGCTCATTACCCGCCTCATTACTAATTTTGAAGAGTCTGACATAAGAAACTTTGGTCGAACAAGGTTCAATATGTTGAATACCTCTTTGACATGATTTTGATAGAGAGTTCCTGAAAGTACAACTTTTCGAGGTGTTTGAACTTTTGCAAGGGATTGTAACACATCAGTGTTTTCGTTCCTTGGTGTGTGGCCTTCATCCAAAATTAGAATTTAAGGCCCTTTGAGCAGTATCTCCTGGCAAGAAACAGGAATATTGCCGGTTCCACCATCACATATTATGGTAGCGAACTGCTTGTACCCCAGAAAAAGGATACTCTTGCTCTCAACCCACTGCTTCAACACCCCCAATTGTTGAGACCTATTTTCAGCTTTCACAGAATAAAAATCAAGCAGTTGAATATCCTCTACTTGCCACGTTTGGAATTCCTTTTTCCATGTAGCCAAGATACCTTTTGGAAGAACAACTAGTGGTTTAGCATGTGGATATTTGGCTAGGAAACTTTGCATGAAACTGATTATCATAAACGTCTTTCCAGATCCAGGTGCATGGGCCAGGATGCAGCCTCCAGGGTTCTCTGTTACCAAATTGTTCAGTAGAAAATTAAAGCCCTCTAATTGATGAGGTTTCATTTGCTTCCTATGTCTTGGATGAGCAGCTATGTCAGTTACTTTTAAATCACCTTCAGACAACTTAATTCGATCAGTTTCACTCGATCCTCTATATTTGACATCCCGTCCTTCTGATAAGTAAATACGTATACTCTTTTTACCCTGAATAAATAAAAAGAAAAAAATAGACTCAAGACATTGAAATTTTCAGCCAGGAAATGAGTTGATAGGGCCTATAAGATTGAGATGAATGATCATAAGATTGATTTACCTTGTTATACTGGATCTCAATTATGGTCTCAATTCCTCTCTCAATAACTCCACAAATGCAACACACATAACCGATATCATCCCTCAATACAAAAGAATGGTCACAGTCTTCATATTCTGACATCCGTTCACTTGAAAGATCCTCAAACCCATCCTACCAAAGCATCATTAGTGAACATTGGAAATAATTAATTGCCCGAAGTTCAATAATTGACATTATACTGATTCTGATATGTAA